CTCTCTCTCTCTCTCTCTCTCTCTCTCTCTCTCTCTCTCTCTCTCTCTCTCTCTCTACAGCGTTCTCTTTTTAGAAAATATTTGTCACACGTCTTGCGTTGTACTTCGATATGTTATATAAATGTATCCGAGACACCGAGCAATCTCCTTATATGCCGGGGAGCGGACCAGTTTTCCTTCGTTGCATCTCTTTGCGACGTCCCGAAGCGTGCGCTTCAAGGTAAAACAAGCATGCGTGTGTGCGTGTATGTGTGCGCGCGTGCGTATGCGTCAAGACTATCGCTTTGAAGAATACGGAAGAAAGAAGAAAAGGAGTGGAGCGCTTACACGTGCGCGCGCATACACACACATACACACACAAAGCGCAGTTAAAAAGAACAGAGCCGTTGTCTCGGGTTCTGCGACAACAATCGTAACAACGTTTCTTTGCGAGCGCGGCCGCAAGAATTCAAGTCGCCAAGACCGGGATACAATTCGGCGAACTGAGAATGTCCCGGCGCGGCTTGCGAATGCGATTCCGTGTGAAGCGCTCGCTTGTCCCGCGCGATATTACATTGGCCGACATTTCCGGGTCGTTTATCAGAGAGCATTCAGCGAGTGATCTTGCACTTTTTCGCGGGTCAACCGGCGGGATACGCGCGCGGCCCGATTCTGCCGTCCGATATAAACTATAAACAGCGCCGGGGCAGACGGTGAAATTAGCATTGTCCGATTCTCGGCGATAGCGCCGACCTCGTAATCTACGACCCGGCGACGCTAATGAACGAATAGTTTTTGCCGGATGTGACCCGGTTAAGATTTATGCCGTCATAAATTCGGGGCACACAATGCTCCTTCTCTCCCCACTGCTCGTTCTCTCTCTCTCTCTCTCTCTCTCTCTCTCTCTCTCTCTCTCTCTCTGTCTCGGCTCCGTTCGCGCGTCCGATAAAAATCCACTAGCTCGTGCACGCGGCGAACACGCTAAACGCATACGCACATTTATCTCACGCGCGCAACATACGCACACGCGACCTAACGCCACGCGTGACGATGACAAAGCCGTACGACGAGGAAGACAGAGCGTTTCGACGCGAAAAAAGGAAGGAAAAGCTCGTTCGCGTCTCGGATACGGATAAACGAATAATCTGCCGCGTTTCTGTCGATATCGAAACGCCGACATCGCGCGAGCCAGTTTTCGTTTTGTGTTCCGGACTATCTCTTTCTCTCTCTCTCCGTTGACGTTTAATTCCGGGACGGTGACGCGAGTTAATTCCCAATCGAGCGACCTTTGTATAAAAGAAACTTTGACTCGACGGTATTTCACAGTAATTTCTTTTTATTTTATTCTTTTACTGCACAGTCTTTCCTCGCGAATCTGCATCGCGGCTATTCGCGGGTTAAAATTAGGATAACTATAGCACGAACGATGATTCTGCCAAACGAGAAGCTCGAATAAAGTAACTCCGGTTTCCTTAAATACTCCCACGAAACCCGGCTCGCAAACCCTCCGCGCAAATCGAGTCCAATATCATAACGCCGATGGCACTAGCGGCCAGATCCACTTTCATGAACTCTAATTAAAACTCTTTAATCGTCTTTGTTCGCGCTCACGAATTTCGCCGCGGTCGAGATGAATATTAACTTTGTTCTTGTTTCTTGTCACGTGCCGTCGTAATAACGCGAATCGTAATAAATGCAATGTGCACCGACTGCTCCCACCCTCACCCTTCTTTCCCTCCTTCTCTCTCGCCACCTTCTCTCTTTCTCCTTTAATTACATTTCGAGAACGAAACGAAATATTTTCCTCTTCAACTAGTTAAGCTCGCTCGTTAAGTATTTGCACCGACAGAATTCCACTCATTCGCCGTATTTCACATAAACCTTTCTGCTTATCGCGCGGAGTGCACTTTCTTACACTCCACGACTGTGTGGAAATTTTCAAGTTTGAACAAAATCCGCAAACTTCCACACCGGAGTACGATTTTTATTATAACGAGCAGTCTATAAATTCTTTCGCGACGAAACCTTGTGCCGATAATCGGTCAGATGCGTTATCGCAACATTGAGCTAACAGGGAGAAATCGATCCTTTTACGTCGACTTGCATTTCGATTCGTCGTGATTTACGAAACAAGGACACTGACGAGAGTGAAGCGCGAACGCAAACACAACGCAAACTCACTCACCTGCTTGTTCAAGATGTCCCAAATTTTCAACGGCTTCTCCGTTTCTGGATTACGTGAATTTCGCCTTGGCTGCGCGTCTCTCTGGACCAGATACAACGGTCTCGTTCCTCGCACTGCACCGTGATCGGGCAAGATCCCGGCCGCTGATACCGGCTCCTCGACGTGATATTGCCAAACCACTTGCATCGTGTCGTTCTGAAACACAAAGGACAGTTTCAAGTCAAGACGGATGTCTCGTTCTCTGCTTTTTGCTGTCGAAAAGTATCGATACGGAGACGGGGCTATAAAGAATCGCGTCTTTATATCCTAGTCGCTATAAAAATCGCTGTTTCCAGAAAGGAGGCAACCCCTACAACGCGAATAAACGGGCTATGGAGGCTGCTGGGGAGATGGGGGTTGCTCTATCCTATGCGCTCGGCTGCGTCTTTTAATCAAACCTCTCATAAAATTTGAGATCGAAGGCACGAAATATCGCGATCCAGTTTTCGAAATATTTGGAAAATAGGAGAGAAATACGCCTCGATCTTTGTTGCTCATCTAACTTTGATCAGCAACAATCCATATTTCTGTTTGATAGAAAAGGTATTTTTACGCGATACGTATCCTGGAAATTTTAGCCCCACTTTCGACATGAATTTTCTAACATCTATATATTTGGAAGAATCAATGCACTCTGAGAAGAAAAATTCAAAAAGAAATATACTTTTTTATTCGGTGAAAATACTAATAACATTTATTTATAGTGATATACTATAATAAAAAATATATAAAATATAAAATATTATAAAATATAAAATATAAAATAATTTATATATAATATAATATATAAAATATTTTTAGATAAAAGAATATGCATTTTCTGAAAAGCTTCTTAGCTTTCTATGAAAGCAGTCGTTTATTCTATTTCGATAAAAAATTCAGATTTAAGCAAATATGTTATTAGTATCCACCGAATAAATACTTTATTATTTTTTCTAGATGGTTTTTTCTCCTAGCGTGTATATTTAATTCACGTGGAAATAGAAGTCTTATTCGACATCTTTAAATAGCAGAAACGTACAAAATGATCGCTGTAGGTTTCAAATAAAACCTCTTAGCAAAGTTAGTAGACTAAATAAAATTAAAAGAGAATGATATAGACTTCAGAGCAACAAAACAGGCGTCAAATTGAATATGGAGGTCAAAAATGGGGTCGACTCGAGGGCGAAACAGTGATCTGAGACGCTCTTTCTCTTTACATCTTGAATGCTATATTACTTCATAAATCAAATATAAAACAGCTTCCATGAGTGGGTCGTTCAGCTGCAATTAACGCCCGAGACCGGCATTTTCTCCAGCCACCCAGGGTGGTCCAAACCTTCCGGTAGCCCCGAGTCCGCGCGTGGGATCAATTCCATTCGGCGCGGGCCAATGATCTGCGGCCACGCTGCGGGCATACACGGTTCACCCCCGAGAAGAAAGGCGACCATCGAGGGTGGCCGCGCGATATACAGAATACAAGCGACAGTGTCCTCCCTCTGTCCGCTTGTCGCGGTTGGCCGCGAAGCGTACACGTGTCCGACCGCGCCAAACTTGGGGTTGCTTTTACACGAGCCACTTACACATTTCGGGACAATCGCGGCTTGATTGGAGAGGGTACCGGCCATACGCGGGCTCGTTAACCGATTCATACTAACAAAAATATCGCCTATTGACCTCCGTCGGATAGTGCGAGTGAAAATGAGTAGGTACGGTCACCGCCGGCCAGATTTACGGGTTTCGGAATCGGGACAATTTTCCCGCCCATGTTGATACCTCCCCGTGTCTCCAAATGGCGGCTGATTTCCCGTTTCCGCAGCTCTTCCGCCGCAATTACCGGTTGAAGCGCGAAATGTACAAAAAAACATCGTGTTTCTCCAAATTCGTCAAATAATCAAATAAAATACTGAAGCGCGTGAAATCTTTATTTTTGTACGTGAAAATCTTGCTGGATCCCGTCAGTCGCGCGCGAGCACGTGCACGGAAAATCGAACAACGTGACTCTCGGATACAAATGCGACGTATGTATGGAATTTAGAGAAATCTCCAAAATCAAAAGTGACAAGCGCGTTCTCTCGTCGCGGGAAATGAAAGAAAATTACAGCGACGGATGGCTCGTATTCGCGAAACGGTTAAAATAATCGACACGTTCGCGACAGCAATCTCTCTCGACTCAGGTCCCGCACCGCACCACATTATTCCGGAGATAACGACCGCACACATACCGCGGCTGAAGATTCGCATTCGTCATATCCGCGATCGTTATCGGTCCTTCTCCGGTGTGCCGCCATTAACATATCGGAGATACAGAGATTAAGAGCGCACTTCGCCACTCCAGACACGTCTCGCGGCGCGAAGGAAAAAATCGTCCGTGGACTCGCAGAAATCTCGCAATCGGGCGACGTTGCGCGGATTTGCAAGCCGCTCACGTGTTACCCATTCACGTTCTTCGATAATCGCTGAGCCGCACGTCGTGCCCCAATACTCCCTCCTTCACCTCGGCGTGTACCTGCTCTTCTCTTCTCCTCACCCACCCGTCCACGCTTCACTGCCTCCCTCTCTCTCTTCCGTCGCCGCGACGAAGACCCCCGTGTCCGTTAACTCCGTCGCATACAATTGTCGGAGCGTACCCACGTTTGTTTCAGCCGAAGCGGCTGAGACAATCGGGCGCCAAGCGTTCTCGCCTGAATCGAAGGAGCAGCGGGGAATACGACGAAATGGCGACCCAGATTCGACAGATCGAAAGATTCCTGGGGCCGAGATGGAAGGTCGATTGGGAGGAAATGGGCATCGCGTTAGAAGAGGAGCGAGGTGGGAATCACGCGATTCGCCCTCGATCGATTCCGGAGACGCCCTTTGACTACGTTATGCACTC